GTATATATGTGTGTGTGTGTGTGTGTGTGTGTGTGTGTGTGTGTGTGTGCGTGAGCGTAGATTAGCTGTTTTTTACCATTGTATCTTTCGGGTAACAATCTTTCATTTAGTTATCTCAATCATTTTTTAACAATACTGTATATCATGTTCCTAAAAAAATGGGTCTACGTTTGCGCTTTAGGGTCACCATGTTTCTTAGTAGAATTTATATACCCTGGGTTCGTCCACAAGTCCCTATAGCTAAAAAGACTTGGCTAGTATATTTGACTATTGTTAATTCATTAAAAATGACCAATGTTAAGAAGTTTCATTTATTCTAAGTGTTAAATTAAACTACAGTAACAAACAGTAAGAAATCACTTCATCGCTATAAATCTAATCATTTCTGCAGGTCAAAAATTATCATCTCAAATTTGACCAAATTTTGAAATAAAGAAAAAGAAAACACAAGATTAAGCTCAGAAGATTCGATTAAACCTGATACATCTACATTCACACTTGCGAAAGCTCCCAGTGTAAGGTTTTATAGTTCCCCTTATCTCAATAGTTGCGTATTGGCTACTTTTTGGAGGCATAACTCGGTCATCTTCCATCTTATACTAAGCTGTGGGATAAATTGTTTTTCCTAAATATACATCCATAATATTTCCACTTTTTATTTATTGTACTTTTTGGTATACAATATATTTCTCAAATAGTAACAGAATTTATCATAAGATAGGGTGTAAGGTAAAAAATGGCTTAGTGACAATGAAAAATTGCGAATCTGAAAAAATTGGAAATCTTTGCACTAAATGCTCACCAGGGGAGTTCAGATCGTTTCGCCTATTCCCTCCAACTGCCTGCACCCAGCGAATACTTGGAATTGAAAAGATACCTGCTAAAGCTCTGAGTGCTAACTGCAAAGTCATAGATATTCTAGGACAAAATCTATGCCCTTTTTTCGAGTTCAGACGAAAACTATGACGTTTTCTACAGTTCAGACGAAGACTATGCTTTTTTCTTGAGCTTTGAAGAATACTAGCATGATTCACGATGACTCACAATAATAAAATGGCTGTTCTTGATTAATAAAACATCATTATAATGTCACTAAATAAATACGTTAACAGCACGTGTATTCAAAACTTTTGACTGGTTACGCATCTGTTATTTCAACTTATAAATTAAATTTATTAAAAAATTGGTATTTCCTTGCATTATTCTAAAAAATGTCTAAATATTACCAAATAAAATTAGAAATATGACTGAGGTTAGAATAAAATATTTATGTTTTGCAGGGTCCCGATATTGGAAGAGCGTCTTAAATGTATGTGTACAGGGCCACGAACAGGTGCGAGGAAACGCGAAGACCAGCAAAGGCAATTAGCGATTTTGGTGGCTTTGAGTAATAAAGAGGAGTGGCGTGATAAAAAGAAGAGGGCAAGGAAAAATTCGAACACTTCGTCAAGGATTCGTACAAGGACGATTGGTTTCCGATGGTCGAGTAAAGCACGCGAATTAACTCTGATGATTCGTCGTCGTAGAGGTGGTAAAACTCTTTAAGGTGGCTTCGTAAACGTGCTCTATTTTGTACCAGAAGGTTCCATTTGATCACAACACTTTATTCATTGTGATACCACCTAGTTTAGAAGCCAATAACCCGTTGAATCTTGTGTCGTGCTCTAATTTCGATATTTCATTTGCGTTTTTTCTATGAAATTTACCTACGTTTGAGAATATTTTGCACCGTCTGATCTCGATGTATAAGCACTGTATTATGCGAATCAATTAAATTAGTCACGAGACGATTTATTAATGTTATAATAATTAGCTTGGTATACATCCCTCACTTACTATAGGATTATCAAGATATTTCATATTTACCAAAATGATACTATTACATTTATTATTTGTTCGTTGTTTGATTACTTTTTTGCAACTTATTGAAAGAACTGATCATTCCAGAAAAATTAAAAAGCATAGATGGTTTTCCTTCCAAAAAGTAATTATTAAGTTTTATATAACTTGTATTAAATTTTAAGTTTTTTTTCCTTTTCTTTGCTTTTTGCTTTGAAGTGTTTTCTAGCTAATATTGATGCGTATCGGAAGTTATGTTTGAAGGATACAGTAAAAAGTGTAGAAACGGTTATTGCTTGAAATATTCGTTGTATCAGATTTTGCTTTTTATTTCCATTTATTTTGTAAATCAACGACATTTGAATTTTTATATCATTTTCTTATTCACATCTTCTTCGACAATAAAGGCAACCAAGATCTTTATTTATTGGCCTATACCTCTACTTCTCCAATAAACACCACACACTTTATAATAAAACAATAGTTCGGAGAAGTGCAATATACATATCCACTCATATATCATTAGATTTTTCCATTTTTTCAAAGAACGATGTAAGTATGTATCTTAAAATGCCAGTGTGTGATCGTTATTTCAGCAATAAGTGCAATTCATGTAAGCTCACCTTGCATAAATATTTGTAATTAGAAATTGTTGCTTTTAAGAAAATTATGAAAAATGTATTTCTATGCTGTTAACATATTTAATCATAAATGTTTTATTAATGCATTCTCATTTTCTAAAAAAATAGCTGATCAACTCCTGCAAACTATTGAAAAACTTTCTAGCATTCTGTTTCAGAACAAAAAAAAATAATTTATAACAGGAAGCAAATAAAATAAAGTTATCATCCAAGAAAAAAAAAAGAGCATAGTTTTCATCTGAACGCGAGAAATGGACATATTTAGGTTCAGCACATGTTCGAAAAAAAAGTATTATATAGTACATTACATACTTCTTATAGAACTCCAGAAAAAGGCATAGTCAAAAAAATAAAAAATAAGGTTGTATTTTAATCGTCCGTCATCCCATTGCTTATGTCTTTCCTTGAGCTCCAAATTATATTAACAAATGTAAGCTTGAATAATTATTTGAAATAGTTAAATTAAGTATGCTTTTTTTTAACAAAATAGCTACTTATTAAATAGGTTTGGTCAACTAGCTTGATAAATAAAGTGATCTAATTGTTAATGTAGAAAACTGTAACTATCTTTAGATTACCCATTTTTTCAATGTATACTTTATATTTTACAAAAAAAATCAAATGTTTTCTAGAGTTAATTCGTGTTTACCATCAATGAAGACTAAGATGTGAAATGACTTCGACTATCATTTAACAATTATTTAATTTATTGCTAATATTAAATTTGATTATTAATAACCTTACTTTTGGTGCCACCCCAAATTCTTTAGATATAAAGATGCACGGAGTACAAGGTAAAGTAGTGTGGTAGGATAGAATTAGCAAACAAGCATGGTTAATTTTGAAAAATTGCTATTAGCACACAAAAAATTATGGTGGTAGTTATTCGATTTCTGAACACATCTAAATAGTTTTAGACTTTAAATTGTGTCAGCTAACGGCCCAAAAAATATGGGAAATGTGGTTAGAAATAGTTTTTCGCGTCTAGGAAGAAACTGAAGAGTCAGACAAAAAAATTGTAATGTTGAAGAAGATGCGCAATTTCAAGACGAAGAAAATGAGCTCTAGTGAGATAAAATTGGCCTGCCTTTTTTTCGCAATTTGCCAAAAAGGACTCTTTTTGACAGTTTTTTAAAAAACCTATAACTCACGTTCATTTGAATAGTAGGACTTGAAAAATGAATATTAGGTAGATATTATGCCCCTTAACTTCCACACTAAATTTCAAGAACATCGGTTGTATACTTTTTGCAAACCGCTGCCAGACCGAATAACTACCACCACGATTTTTTTCAAGCTAATAGCAATTTTCTTTTCAAAAAGCTAGTTCTATCCTACTAAGTAGAGTCACCTTATATTTTGACTGAAAATTTGTACCTGCCAAGAAAAAAATCAAGGTAGACATTTTAAATTTAACTTCCACAGTGCACATGATTGATCAAAGACAAAAAAATGGTCAAGTAATGGTTCATCAAAAAACTTGACAGCAAAAGCAACAATTTGAATAAAAATTTTTTTGCAATGAAAAAATGCACCATTTTGAGACGAAAAAAATTGGTAGTGTTGTACTCAAATTGGTCCAGCTATTTTTTGCAAATCGCAAAAAAATGCCTTTTTAGGCCTTATTTTTGAAATTTAATGATTTTCGTTCCAATAACATTAAGAGATGAAATTTGCACTGGAGGTAGGTGTTATAGCTCACACACAAAAAATGTCACCTAGATCAGATTTAAACTTTTTGTGATTCACAGGCAAAACCAAAAAAGGCTCTTTCAAAAAACTTGGTCTGGATTATTTTCGTCGTATTCTTGATCGCAAGCTGTTGCACAAATAATTCCTTCAACGTAAGAAATCAACACGATGTACCAGCAAGCAGAAGCAAAGATGTTTTTCTCACGGCAGTCGAGATGAATCTGTTCATACGCACGCACACAGCGCAAGGTATCTATATCATGTTTTTCAATTTTTAATAACAAATAACCACTTCAACCAAATATTTCCAGAACAAATAAAAGCTGTGTTTACGAAGTCATTTTTTATAACAAAGCTGCTTTTGTTACGTGGGATTCCAGAGGTTCAGGGTGCTTAACAACAAAACGGCAGTTAACTTAAGTCAATCACTTTATTACTATTCCTTGAGAGAAGGCGCTTGGCAGTCCCGAGTCACTTAGTGTGACTACCCTTTCTCTAGTCCCGGCGTTATAGAACTAGTTCCCCGCAGCCACTGCTACGGGTCTTTTTATGCTCTTTCCTCCCACACTCGCCCTCCTTCCTTCTCCAAATAACTGAGGCCCATCCCACGAAGTATGTTCCATACTGTAAGTGAGACGTCCGAGGCCGCGTCGTCGTCATCCTCAGCGGCGTTCTTTTTTTTTCCCAACTTGGGTATAATTGCTTAATTGGTGTCCGTATTATGTTGTTCGTGTTGTAATGTGTACTAATCACAACAAGAAAAAAATCAAAGAAGTGTTTTTATGTACATCCCCGTTTCTTCTCCTTTTACAGGTTCTGATTAGTTTTTCGTAAGTTTATAGAGTGTTATTACATGTATTGTTCATGTTTGCGTTCTTCCCTCTTACATAAAGACTTCATATATATGCCCTTGTGGGTCTAAGCTTTTGTTTATAATCATTTGATAACTACTTTTATTTTTATTTCGACTTAATATTCACTTACATGTTGCTTTTTTAATTATTATTTCAGGCGTGTTCATCTTTATTATTATAATTATTATTATATTTTTTTTGTTTTAATAGTTATTTCGTACATTTGTTTTTTTTTTTTTTTTTTTTTTCTTTAATACTATATTCATTATATTTCACGCAGCGTCTTTTACACAACATGAAAAAAATCTTTCATAATTCGTTATTATTGTTGTATACATATTATTTCTCCAGTATTTATTTGTTGCGTTAACGTATCACCTAACAACGAAAGGTATATGAACCGTTCTTAACTACATATCTACTGACTAGTTTTTTTTGTGATGTATGTATATATATAGTGATATATATATATAGTGCTTAGGCATGAAGTTTCTATGTTTAACTTAGCCAAATTGAATCATAAATGTTTTATTAATGCATTCTCATTTTCTAAAAAAATAGCTGATCAACTCCTGCCTAGTATTTATACCAGATGATTTGTACTTTTAAAGTAATAAATGACTTTACATACACACACACCCACACACTTTACCTTACACTATATCTTATAATAAATTCCGTTACTTTTTGAGAAATATGTTGTATACAAAAAGTACAATAATAAAANTATATATATATAATGGTAATTATTTGTTGCTGTTCATCGGTTGATCTCCCCGTTGTCGCTTGTCTCGTACTTGAATTAATATCGGTTGCAGGGCCATAGGGTTCCCTGTATTTTTATTCCTTGCGGAGTTGTTCCTGTTTCTTCTTCCTGCAAACATTCTAGACAGATTTAGTATTATCAGGGCCCCCCATTTTAAAATCCCGACCGATCCTGCAGCCACCCTCAATGCTATCTCCAACGCTAACCACGCATACTCCTTCCAGTCAGAAATTTCCTCTTTTGTCTGTACTAATTAATGTATACGTTGCACTATGTCTGTAAGCTTTGTACCTGTTGTTAACCTATTTTCTGGACCATGCTCCTGTTTACCAAGCTCCTGTAATCCATCCCTCTCTACTACCGTTTTTATTTGCTCCAACATCTCATCTAGTTTCATCCCTTTTATTTTCTGCACTTTTTCTTTCAAATTCAGATTTGAACCCTCAAACTTGACTATCTGATTCTCGCCCTCCTCCTGACTCGAGTCCAATCTCGTCTCTGATTTTTGGGCTGTGCAATCTTTCGCTAGGTCTATCACTCCTGCCTTCATTACTTTAAATGTTTTGTGCTCGGTGTGATCGCATTGTACATGAACTTTTTCCTCTCACGTGGTACTAAACGCATGACGGTTTTTCGCGTGAAGGCGTGTCCAGTACGTACCCTTTAATTTGGCTAACACTATCGGGCATTCTTCCAGTTTCTTGACAGTCTCCCTTAGTATAAGTCGTATCTCACAAGGGTGATTCTCCTTTACTTCTTGTGTTGGTTCCATTCCTGTACATATGTTTACCTTTTTCATCTTTTTGCATTGTACCACTGTCTCCCATGCCACCGGTGCGAATCTCTTTTCACTCGTGCTACCTGCTATTTATTCATACGTTGGCTATAATAAGCGACTACGTTCGTCATATTTAATCCTTCTTGTTCTACCGGCAACGGTGATATCCTGAGGAAATCCAAACTCTCTCTTGTCACTAGCGGTATCTCGATGTAGTAGATAATTTTTCTATCAATTGTTCCTTTTGCTACTTTTGATATCTCTGCTACCTTCTCTTTTGTCGTATTTGTCTCTCCTGGGAACCTCAGATCCGGTCTAAATGGCTCTGCTAATATTTGCGCTTCTGCTATCCCGTTCAGTGCTGTTTCCGGCAGGTGGGTCACGCCCCGACTTGCTAAATATATTATATCCGTTGCTGTTTCGAATTTAGCTACGAGTCCTTCGGTCAATTTTTCAAATTTTTCCACTATTCCCGATACTCTGTCGTATCCGTTTATGAGTTCTGCAAATATTTTTAATCCTTCCTCCGTAACCTTCCCTGCTTCGTCTTCAAACTTTTTTATATCCTGAAAAACCTGCTCATGATCACTGAACGTTATAACCCTCATTTGTTCCTTTAAGTATCTTGTAGTGCCAGTCGCATGCGTTAAGTTTGATCTCATCATCTCCAGTATTTTTTCCTTATGTGCTTCTGTTATTTGTTTCTGAAGTGTCTACACCGTTCCGATCTGGCTATTATCGGCTTTTTGGCCTACCAACCACCCTGTATGCCGTTTCCATTCTCTGCAGTGCCCCTGAGACTTTGCTAGTAGCACGTCCCACTTGATCCTCACATTCATCTCTCTTTCTTATGGTTACCCTACATTTCCGCTTCGCTTGCCGGCTTGCTTTTAAAAATGCTTCTGTCTCTTGTACCATTCGATCCCAATCTACGTACCAAATTAATTTCCATGTTAATACGACTGACTGAATTGGACCCAAGTTTTCTACTAGCATCCCCAGATTCCTTTCAATTTGCTCTATTTCTCCCGAATGTCCTCCTATCAGCGTGGTTTCAACCCTAAAACATAAAATAGTTATCCCTTTTTCTTTTCTCCTTCCCATTCCCATTTATCTTAAGCTCCTAGGCCTATAAATCATCCTTGACTAAAGCAAAAAGAGAACAAAAACGAGAGACAAAAAAAATTCTTGGTTTCTCTTATTTTATTATTGTTTACTTTTTTTTTCTCTAGCGATAAGCACATATATAAATCCCCATCTAATATAATTATTTAACCATATTTCACTATTGTTTTTCGTAAAGCAAGTATTAAGACCCACTCGATCATTACGGTAAGTCGCGAGTGTGGCTCTGTCTGTACACTCAAGGTATATTGTTACATACGATATTAACTTTGTATTTAGGTGTCTTTTTATTCATTATACCATGTATGTGTATAATATAAGCGTAGAACATATATTAGTGCTGTCCGTTAAGATATTTTTGTTTCCCTCAAAAAAAAAATTTTCTTCCCACGTCACGAGTTGGGTATATGTGTGTTTATTTGTTTACGGCGTCGTTTTTGCCAATTTTCGTGATGTTGATGTCTGGTTCGTTTGTTGTACCTTATGAGGGTTGCGCGCCAATTTACAGTTCAGTCGTGTCCTGGCAAGGATGAACTTGGAGGAGTAGGTGGTTTTATGATCACGCATTCCCGTAGTGAACAGTATGTCACGCTAGGACCCATACTTCACTTATTTTCCCTTTCATATTTTTTCCTTTTGTTACAGTATGCATCATTTCACTTTCGTGTGTGTGTGTATGTATATATATATTTTTTTTGGAGGGGGGTGCAGGGAGAGGATGAGGAAAAGTTCTGTTGGATTTTCCTTTCCTCATTTCTGCTTGCTCGTCAATATCCTCGCTGATTTTGCCTTGTACACTTCCTTGTCGTTCTCTTGCCTCGGGAAAAAGAATTATTTGCCATGGCTAGTGTGAGCGAAATTTTTTTGCAGCTGCCCGAGTTTTAAGAACTCGGTTTTGAAAAGTTGAGTGTGCCGGTGAAACTTTTGTCTCCCGAAGGGTCATTATGTGCGGTCCTCTCAGGTCCCATCCTGGAGGAGGACCTCGCCTGCGGTCAGCCACAATGCCGTCACGTAAGTAGCTGTTTATGTGCTGACTAGCACGCTTCATTTTCTCGTGACTTGCCGTATAAGTATTCCTCTCTTTTGCAGGTGACCCATCTTTATGTGTGCCAGCAGGTGCTCACCACCGGGCGACCCTCACCTGCAATTGTCATCGTCGCCAAGGCCTCTACAAGTCTCGCAGCCGTCCACTGCCCTACACACGGTTTGGTAAGGCTGTTATATTTGATATTGTGGTCCTAAAGTCTAAAAAATTCCTTTGTTTTAGTTGGGTGCGCGGCTCATTATAGACCCATACGTCTATTTTGGCATACCAAGGCCTTTATGTGGCCCCGCAACGTGACCCCCCTGCCCTTACGTCGGTACCCCTATTGTGGTGGCGTCGGAACCTGCAAGGTTCGGTGGTCTTCAGGGGTACCGTTTCTTATCACCTTTAAAGACTACGACAAAATGCCTTACCTATCCTTTGACGGCCAGGTGTTACGAAAGTATTGCCAGATTCTCGAATCTGGCGTCTCATACGCTCATCGGGTGTGGTTGTCACCGCGCCTTTATGGTGGTGGTAGCCGATGTGCAGCTTGACGCAGCCACTTACCCTTTCGACAGCCGACCAATAATCCAGGTACGTTGTCAGTTGTTTTATTTATTTTTTTTTTTTTTCTAGAAGTTTCCAGCTTTACATTTTTTGTTAAAACGAAATCATCCTAGGTGGACGGTCCAACGAATGGTTTGTTCGTTGCAAAGGACGTGAGCGCCGAGCCAGTGTCGTCCTATGATGACTGTCTGCGTCGTCTACGAGCGCTTTCATTGCCAGAAAGTGATCCTGATAGATGTGGGATAGCTCCTGTTGACGGACAGAGGAAGAGGGAAAAGAGGGCCCTGTCAATGTTCGCGAGTTCGTGGTCCCCGGTAAAAATTTCGTAGATGCCCCATTTTATTTTATTTTCCGCTCCTCCATCCTCCTCCCAACCTAAAAAAATGTGCAACCCAAGACAATCAGAAAAAACTCCCCTGTCTTTTTATATACATATATCTGTGCTGCTAGAAAGTTACATCTTGCGTAACATAAAAGTAACATCTCTTAATTACAATTATTATTGTTCTTATATGTTTCTCTCTTCATCTTAACTCCCGATTTGTGCTGACTTTACAAGAAGTATATCTCCCTTTTTGTTATCTATTCATCTCCATATACATATATCTAACGAATCTTGGTAGCACGTCTGGGGGCCACGGAAAATAAAGAAAAATCCTTCCGTTTATTTTGCTACATCCCGTGAAAAAGAATTTTGTAGCCCGTTCGGGGGCCACCAAAATAAAAAGTCCCGAAGAGAAGTGTTTATTTTCACGTCTGTTTTTTCCTGTATTCGTCTATAGTGCTATTATCAGTAAGTGACCGTCGAGGTGGGGAGCAAGTTCGTTTCAGTCAGTTCCGATGCCTCTTGATTCCTTTCATTTTTCTCTCTCTTTTGTAGCTACAATTTTTCTGTCGCTTGGGCATGGGGCTTACAGTACACAGGCTTTCTTTATTTTATCCACATATGAAATTCGTATTTCTTCGTTTCTCTGTAATTTCGCATTATGGTTTCTATAATCGATGCCGACTATCTCATACGGTCCCTCGTATTGCTCATCGAATTTCCCTTTAGACGGCTCTTTTAGTACATAAACCATTTCACCTCCCATGAAAAAATTGTGTTCAGCAACCTATCATAGTAGTACGATGATCGGTATTTCTTTTGTGTTTGGGTCATTGCTGCCAATGTTTGTGATTGCGCGAGCGTCCCCGTTACTTGTTGTAGTAACTCTGTATACGTTTGGCCCGTCTCTGGTTTCTTGAAGCTTGACGGGAGTTTTGCCTGCTGGCCGAATACAAGCTCGTAAGATGAATAGCCTGTGCTCTCTTGCTGTGACGTATTGTAAGCGAGCATACACAATGGCAGTAGTTCGTCCCATTTTTTGGTCTCACTAACGTAAGCTTTCAAATATTCGGTTAGGACATGGTGCATGCGTCTAATTGCCCCATAGCTTTGAGGATGGAATACCATACTCCCAAGTTTTTTAATTTTGAATAATCGCATGATCTCGTCCATTGTTTTGTTCATAAAATGTGTCCCTCGGTCTGATAATAATTATTTGTCAAGGCTTTTACCATCTCTTCAGCTGTTGCTCTTTGTACCGGTATTAATACAATAAACATAGTTAGCCAACGTTCTATTGACAGGATATGTGTACAGTCGTTTGTTAAAGGCTTATTAATTGGTCCATAATAGTCAATCAAGATTTTCTCAAACGGTCTGCTGGGCGTATCTGTAACGAGCATAGCTTGCTTTGTTTTTACACGCACTAGTTTTTTAGTCTGACATGACTGGCATCCAAGTATAAATCGCCTCACGTCAGCCCTCATATTCCTCCAATAAAAGTCCCTTGCTATATTATTGTAGGTCTTGTTCATTCCTTTATGACCCCCAATTGTTGATTCGTGGTACTTCTTAATAACCTTATACTTTTGATCTACTGGTGGTACAACTAAGGTGTTCATGTAAAAAGTCGCTGTGACCTTGAGGTTTTTGAAAATTTCCTTAAATTGCTCCACGAACTGATTCATATTTAGTATTGCTAAGTTACGTATCACGCCTATCATTTTTATTTTAATAATCCTTACAAGTGCCTTGAGTGACGTAATGCATTTCTTAATATCCAATTTTAGAGCAGTATCTTCAAAATGCGACTTAATATACATTCGCATTACCACGATTTTTCTCACCTCTTTTTTCATGACGTCACCAACCGTTTTTTCCTCATTATTTAAGATTATTGGGTCTATATAACCACGCTCATAAAGGGCGTCTATCGTTTTTCATGTGGTAGCCGTGTTCTACACACTCTGTACTTCTTGAGCTGTGAGAGATTCGACAATACTTTTTCTTCGAGGTTTGCTTTTTCTGGGTCACTTTCTGTTTCCAGTCTGGCCTTGTTTAAGCCGATCTCTTCCTCACCCTCATCGTTTAATAAGTCAGAGTCGAGGAGTCAGGAGGTGGTGGTGGATCGGGTGGCGGCGTGTCCCTATCTTCATGAACACCTTCATTCATGGAGTCATTTTTATTATGCTTCCTTTCTTTATCCTCTTTTTCTCTTTCCCCCCATTGGCTCGTTTGCCTTAATTTTCCAATGCATGCCCGTGTATTATTCGTCACTGACCAGCGGTCCCCTATCATCTAGATTTTGTTCCTCTCCACTCTGCTCATTTACGGCCACGTAACACGGCTACGACTTTTTATATTGGTCTGAAGTGGTTATTAAGAAGGTTCAAGTGCATATACTCCTCATTATCATTTATCGTAAAACTTTCGAAAATTTCACACTCCATTCCCTTCTTTGTGCCCTGTAGATATACACAAACATTCTTCCTGAATTCTTGTACAAACAGGAATATGCAGTCATCATTGCCATATTCTGTATCAGACTGCAGGATTTTTCTACCTCCTCCTGATCAACGCATATATCTTTCCACTTAAAACACTGTAGTTTGTCACGGAGTTCCCTAGCTGTTAATTGTAAGTCACAAGAAAAAATAAGCGAGTCAAATAAGCAGTTCCCTGGTATTTCTACTGGAAGCTTTTCCATAAGTATAACATTTTTGTCCGTCTCTACGCAGTTTTATTCCGAGCTACGTTTAGCTATATTTACGCCTTTTGTTTGATTTTGAATTTCATCATCTCCATCCATATAATCACTCGTTATCTTCTTCGTTGTATTTTTATCTCTCGATGGTTTTATTTGCTTGTGGGGACCCGGGCGGAGTATCTTTCTCGCTAATATATTCAT